GACTTTTTTTCTGACAAGGTCTGCAACTTGTTCGCATACCCTACTTCCATCCGCCATCCCTCGAATAGAGGTAATTGCTGTGGATGGACGGCCTTGCCGCCTTCCCTGCTGCTTGCTTTGCCTTCTTGAACCGCCCGCGCTGTGCTTTACTGTCGCCCTACTGCCTAGCTGCCTACGGCTTGCCTTGTGTTGCTTTGCTGCTTGCCCACTAAGTCGTGCCGCCTTGATTCCTTGCTACTTGGGTTTGCTCCTTGCCTGTCCACCTTGCTGCCTGCCCTGCTGCTTGCTTTGCCTTCCCGAACCACCCGTCCTGTGCTTTACTGTTCCACCACTGCCTGGGTACCTACTGCTTGCCTTGTCTTGGTTTGCTGCTTGCCCACTAAGCCATGCCGTCTTGCTTCCTTGCTACTTGGCTTTGCTGCTTGCCTGTCCAACTTGCTGCCTGCCCTGCTGCTTGCTTTTCCCTAGTGAGCCACCCGTGCTGTGCTTTACTGTTGCACCACTGCCTGACTACCTACTGCTTGCCTTTCATTGGTTTATTTCTTTCCCAGTACGTCTTGCCGTCCTGCTTCCTTGCTACTTGGCCTTTGCTGCTTGCCTGTCCAATTGCCAGCCTCATGTTCTCCTACTTCATGCTGTCTCTATGATCGATATAGTTTCCGCTAAGCATCCATGTTGAGGACACCGGGGTCTTATGCTCAAAAGTGCACTGGGCTGGGAAGCTCCTCCGTTTTTTCTCACTTACTCACATTTCTGCACACTCCAGCCCAGCCAGTAATCTGACCAGGCATCCTCGCTGCACGGTTTAGCCCACTGCCTATGATCCTAATTCATTTCAACTGGCAAAACTGAAATTCTGAAGCATAGAATTGCATTGCATAGCAAGAAGACAGGGGTCCGGATTGTTTGAGTAAGAACGCAGAAGAAATGAACGAGGAAAGTGTTACATGCTGCGCCTGCACACGAGGGCCATTTTCCAGGCCCTGCGTCCCTCAGGCTGACAGCCTGAAATTCAGGCTGAAAGCCTGAAAACCAGGGCCTACAGGCCCCGTGGCTGTTTCAGCCTGACAGCCTGAAAATTGAGGGTATGGCATTCTGAAAACGCCCTACCCCCTTGATGTATCCCGACTTAGTCAAAGTCCACACATATCCAGGCCGGAAAAGCCCGGTTTGGAATGTATGTGGTGTTCTGCTAAGTCCAGATACATCGAGGGGTTAGGGCGTTTTCAGAACACCATACCCTCTATTTCATGAATTTTGGGCCAAAAAGTGAGATTTCAATTTCATTAAAAAAATATAATATCATAATGGCCATTTTAATGAAATAGCTGTTAGAAGTACTGGGGCATCATCTAACAGATGGACATGGACTCGGAATTTGCGCTGCACCCCCTGGGCCCCTGGGTCTCTACTACTGCCTACACCTGGTACCTGTGGGCCAGAAGCACTGGGGCATCTGATGAAATTGAATGAGCAGTGATAGGGACACATGGAAAAGATTTCAGTCCCAGGCTCGGACCATGTGATGGATGCCCGTCAAATTTGAACCTACATCAGAAGTGCATGCTGCGAATCTCAGAAATTACAGCAGCAGTGCACAATTGACCCCAAACTGCGGCAAACAAACACACAGAAAAAGCAGATCCGTGCATCTCAGGAAAGTCCGGCACGCCCATATAAATTACAGGGGCAGTGCGTAGAAGACCGCAAACTTAACCAAAAAACAGATGCATGCAGGAAAGTCCAGGGGCCAAGTCCCACTAGAAGCGTCGAGTTTCCTCCGCGCCTGAATTCTGGTCGTGTTCATGGAGATGGTGCGGTTCAGGAAACTAAACGCCATTTCTGTACATCCCACAAACACGTCCAGATTCAGGCGTTGAGGAACTCAATGCTACTAGTGGGATGGAACTTGGCCCCGGCACGCTCAGATCCATGCCGGAGAGTCCAGCGCGCCCATAATCTGAAGACAGTGCACATCTCCCAAAGAGATGCAGCAGAAAGAGAAAACACTGCGGGCATACTCACATGACGACTTGATGACCTTAAAGCACCAGTGGACCACACATAGGCCCGCGGGTGTCAGCTCCAAACCCGCACCACTTCGGAGGCTGCCGAATCTGTGCCGATTTGATTTTTCGACAGCGCCCCATGCTGCGCTGCCCCTCCGAGTTTTGCTTCTGGCGACAAAACATTTTTTTTGCTCAATGCCTCCGGACCGAGCTTCTTCGATGGGCCAGTCACTGTGCCTCCCCTCCGGTCCCCGCCCCCTATGAACATCAGCAGTCTCTGCTCAATGCAAGGTTGGGGCCGTGTACTTGCTGTTTAAATCCCAAAAATTTGAGGCAGTTTTCTGGTCACATTGGAGAGGCCCGCGACCCAAATGTACTTTTTGGTGACTCTATTGTCAGCAGCCTACCGGGCCGCTGGAGGACCCTTTTCGAGACCACCTCCAGAGGTGGTCTCAAATTACCTTTTCGACTTTTTCTTTCTCCTTGAGGTATTTCAAGAAATCCATGCATGAGTAAAAAACAGCCGTGCCTGTTAATTCAGCATTGAAAAGGGGGGAAAAAAAACTCTATATATTTTTGGGTGTAAGCAGTGTGACTACGTGCAGTTCCTGGGACATGCAAATGTCAGGGCCACTACTGTGTCCTTTGCGGACAAAGTCCGCCCGTGTGACCACACAAGTACCCAAAGTAGCAAATTTGCGGTACCAAACGCCTCAAATATTTGCGACTTTAGGTCCCCGTGAGAGTATGCCCTGAAAGAGCAGGCCTGTCTTGTATTGCTGGTCACGGAAACAAACCATCACAGGAAAAGAAAAACAAGAAAAACAAGAAACACAAGAAACAAGTACGGCAGTGTGGCAGTTTCAGTTTCGAAAGGGCAAAAAAAACATGTGCAGGGAACAAGATCAGGTGCGGAGTTTGGAAAGGGCGATATCGGTAAAATTGGCTGTAGCCCACGTGTGATTTTGTTGCCCTTTTCAAACTCAGCACGCAAGTGTGTTGCCCTTCTCAAACTCAGCCTGGGGGGAAAAATGCTTTAAATTTATTGCTCTTTTGAACTCCCTGCGCGAGTTTGTTGGTGGCCTGTGATTTTGTTGCCCTTTTCAAACTCGTTTGTGCCACAACCTTGTTGGTGGCGTGCGATTTTGTTGCCTTTTTCAAACTCGTTTGTGCCACAACCACTCATACCTCTCCCCCCCCCCCAAAAAAAAAAAAAAAGCCATCAAGCCCGTAATGTGAACACACCGCCGCTCTCCCGCAAAGACCAACAGAAAGACAGAACCCAAAGAGCTGGCCAAGCCATGAAGATGAACGAGGGAGAACAAAGCCAAGGGATGATTACGCGTCTGCCTCCACTGCAAGACTTTCCTTTCTAAAAGAGTCTCTGTAGTGGGTAGTGGTCTCAATACGTCAGAGTCTGCCGTCTGTTGACTCTTGCTGCTCATTTCAAATGTGACAAAGACAAAACTTTGGCGGGCGCATCTGCTCATGTTTTAGCGGGAAGTTCTTTTTTTTTTTTTTTTTTTTTTTTTTGGAAAGTCTGTCCTTTATTGCCAAGGAACACATTAAAAGGAGGCCGGGGACCTCACAATTCAACCCGGAGTTATCCTGGCAGCATCAGCCAGTTTCGCTTACGAGCCAAGCTCGCAGAACTTCCCTTTGCTAGCACACTGGTAAATGTAACAGCTGGAAACCGGGTCCAGTGTCCCATCCAAAAAATACTTGCTTTCCAAAATCAACTTTAAAGCTCATGTAAAAAGGGCTCCAATGAGCCTAACTGAGAACCTGTCCCTATACAGAAGATCAAACATCAAGAACTCACTATCACAGGCCCTATACATCAAACAAAGTTCCCYAGAAGARAACTAATACGCAACAACACCTGACTCCTGTTTCGGGGGACTAACATAGTCCTCCTACAACCGACTCAGTCAAYCAAGTAGGAAATTCCATTTTCCCATCTGATGAGACTTTTGCACAATTCGTCATGGACCATGTCTTCAAAAACCAATAACGATTCTTCCTTCTCCAGTCCGCCMGAACAGCCWATCTGAGGGCCTCATTAATCCTGTTCTTTGTCCGSTGAAGGTTTATTTCCTCTTGCTGGAAGACCCGAGCGTTCCTCTCGGCCCACAGAGCCTCCATCACAATCCCTCTACAGCACAAGGCCACATAGTTAACCCCAGCCCCAAAGCTGCCTTTAGTCTGAASTTTACTGAATAATATGAACTCGTCACTCCAGATAAATTCCTGACTTAACCTCTTCCAAAATTCCTTCCACCACTCCCAGATTCTCATCGACATAGGGCAAGACAGCCACAGATGCATGGYTGTTTCCCATCCCCACTTACAACGTTCACAAGTGGCAGGGATGTCCATACCCTTGCTATYCAACCAAGAGGCCGTTGGAGTAATCTGMAGAGATTGCAGCCACTGTAGTACTGCCTGTCTCTGTGACGGCATGGATTTTAATGCTTGCCAGAGTGTTAATAGATMTGCTTCCTCYACTGATCCAGACRATACCGGTGATACTTGGAGCTGASCAAGTCTCCTTAAGRCTGTATCRAGAGKTTTTTTCTTTACCCCATCCTGCTGAACMAGAACTCCCACCTTTGATCTGTACTGACAGACAGGCACCACTTGTTTGAGGGAGTTAGGTTTCCAACCGAAAAGTGCTGGTTCCACTATRAACTTCTCCTRAGAGGCCTTCAGTAACTGGCATGCAGTTCCTTTTCTTGTAAACTGCTCCAGTACTCTCACTTCCTGTAGGCCCCTWGTGGAACCAACTGTGTCCTCCTCCTTCCATGCCAAGGATCTGTTCTGGCCTCCAGCCTTAATCTCCCAAATCTGTATTTTCGTACCGGCTCTCAAGTCAGGCCCAACTATTTTCCAGAGTCTCTGTCTGTTACAAGGGTCCTCCACCCAACAACCTGCACTCAACTCASTRTCATTCTTAAGGGCATTARCCCAATGCAGTGGAACCGCCTGCTTTAGTTTGTTGTAGTTTTGTTCCACTCCTCTGAGCCGAGGTAACMGCCTTTTCACTGTTTCCAGGGGCAACCAATCTGAGGCTTCCCCATCCCACAGGTCTCGCATCTGCAGGATCCCATGTTCCACCCAGGACCTGCCGAAGGAACCAATGCTCCCATCCGCTTTCAATTCCTCCGAACCACTAKGCAAGATATACTTATTTTCAAAAACAATTTGGTTCAAAATTTCTTCTTTAGATCTTGGTTCCTCCAACAACTGTGGGTGAATCTTCTTCCAGGCTTGTAAAATGCTCTTCCACAGTTGAGACTTCGGTCTCCTGGCCACGTAGGAGGGGATCATTAGGCACAGCCAAACATGATCCTGCTGCTGCAAAGACCATTCTTCCATCAGTATGTACTCGGCCAGGCTAATCCACGCTTTTTCTTCAGAAGAGAACAKTGCAGYCACCGACCATTTGGACAGCAAAGCAATATTTTGCTGCATAGGATCAAGAACCCCCAGTCCTCCTTGATCTCTTGCCCCACAAATAAGCTCCCAAGCGGCCTTTACAATAACCCTTCCCCACAAATAAGCTCCCAAGCGGCCTTTACAATAAACCCTTCCTGTTCCGAGGCCTGCGGTTTCCACAAATATCTTGCTGCGTTTTTTTTAATGTTCTTGTATGACTCCTCACCCAACAGATGAACAGTGAGTGGGAACCACAACAGAGAGAAGGCTGCAGCACTTAGGACCAGCGCCCTACCGAATAACGACAGCTGATGGTTTCTTGTCCARCCGTTAATCCGGGCCACCACCTTTTCCGAGAGAAGTGTATCTTGTTGGGCCGCACAATCTGTGAGTGARACCTGAACCCCTAATAGTCTTTYCGAAGCATTTTCCGGGACTCTCCGGAGCCCCCAGTCAACATCAAGATCAAACACTAGAGGCAGTAAAAACACCGACTTCTCCCAGTTGATGGAGGCTTCTGATAATTCACAGTAAGTGTCCAGAACATTTTTCAGTTCATTTRAAGCCTCGRCATTATTAGAGCARGCGACTGTCAAATCATCCGCTATAGCCCCTCCCTTCCAATGGATCTTTGGGGGGAGGAGCAAGCCAACTATCCTAGGATTAAATCTAATATTAAACAACAGGACTTCTAGTTGAGTAACAAAAAGCAACGGGGCTAACGGACAGCCTTGTYTCAACGACCTAGACAGAGGAAACYCAGATGAAAGTTGGCCATTCACCAYTACCACCGAGGATGCTTCAGTGTACATAGCCTTCGCCCATCTGCAGAATCCCTCCCCAAACCCCATCTKATCYAGTGATGTGAACACAAAAGCCCAGCCRACTTTGTCGTAGGCTTTCTCCATATCCARCAGTARTACYGCCACATTCTTCTGTTYTCTGCCTATGATCTCGAGCGCTTGAATTGACGATAATATGTTCTCAAATAAGGACCTACCCTTTACAAAGGCCCCCTGCTCCTTTCCCACTAGTCTTGGTAGGTATTCTGACAGTCTCATTGCAAGGGCTTTGCCCARGATCTTATATGCTACGTTCAGAACTGAAATTGGTCTATAATTCTTGACCTCCCTCKTGTCCCCTTTCTTGTAGAGTAGGGATATTGCACCGGTTAGCCACGATTTAGGTAGTTGGCCTGTKACCAGGCAATTATTAAATACTTGACATAGGAACGGGGCAAAAGCCTCCCAGGTACTCAAAAACAATTCCACCGGGAGGCCATCGAGACCCGGGCATTTCCCTTTTGCCATGCTCCTAACCGCTTTATGTAATTCCAGGGTAGGAAATGGAGCATCTAATTTTTCCTTGCCTTCCAACGGAAGCCCCACCGCCAATCCCTCCCAAAAGGATGACGACAGMGAGAGGTCTGAATTTGCATTTTCCCACGGTCTCCTAGTGGAAACAATGTCTTGATAATACGCTTTGGCATAGGTACACATTTCATTAATGTTGGATGTTGATGGTACATTAAGATTGAAGGGGTGAACCAGTTCCCTTACCACTGTTTTTGTCTGTCTCAGGATTAGACTACGAAAAGTGATCTTTGTCATACGGTCATATCCCACCACTCCCCTAATCCTAAGCCACTCCAGCCACTCTTCTTGCTTCGTTGTCTCCAGTCTCTCCAAGGTGGCTAAGTGTATTTTCCTCTGTTCGGCCCAGTAGTATTCAGTAAAGGGATCCCCTTCCACTTTTAGTTCAGCTTCTTTTACGGCCAGCTGTGTTTTCTTTTCTTCCCAGTCTCTGCTCGCCGCCTTCATCCTTGAAAAGGCTTACAATGCTGCCGTAATAATGCCCAACCCAACCCCCGCCCAATCCCCATCCTGGGCGAATAGATCCTTCGCTCCCATCCAAGCTTTCATCTGACTTTCCACCCATTCGATGATACCCTTATCCTTTAGAAGGTTCACATTTAACTTAAAGGGCGGGCGAACTTTTTCAAACTGTTCCTTGGCCAAGATATCCATCGCCACAGGCGCGTGGTCTGACACATRGGAAACCAGAGTGTCACACCACATACATCTGTCCCACAGAGAACCTCTGGCCAGAAAGAAATCTAATCTTCTTTTTGGCTGAGGCGTTGTGGGAGAGGGGCGAGGTCCAACCCACGTATATCCTGAGGAATCAGGATTTAAAATTCTATAAACATCGTTTAAGGACTGGGCCTCTTTTAAAGCCGAGAGCATCACTGAATCCTCTCTTAAGTGCGTGGGGTTCGGGGAATCTAGCCCTGGCTCAAAGATAGTATTCCAATCCCCGGCCAGAACTAGGTTCTCTACGTCCGGCAACCATGACGGTAGAAGAGCAAAACAATTGGTTCTTTCTTTGTACTCCACAGGGGCATAAATAGACATAACTGCCCAATCCTCCTCTTCTATTGCCAGTTTTACCCACTCCACTCTCCCTTTGGGATCAGCGAACTGGTCAATCACCTCTACATCCAGATCTTTGGTTATCAAGATAGCCACCCCGCCTTTTGTCCCGTCCGCAGGGGCCCAGAATTGGGGCCCCCTCCACCAGTTCCTGGCGGCCTCTATCTTATCTGAGTTCAATTTAGTTTCTTGCAAACACGCAATTTGTACGTTTTTTGAATGCAAGAAAGCAGACATAATACCTTTCTTATTTCTATTTGAGGTGTCCCCCATACCTCGTACATTCCAAGATAATATTCTAATCTTGTTCGGCAAGACCATTATCATGGTCAATGCCGCCTGTATCTTGGATGCGGTTYTCAGCAGGGACCAAATCTGTGTCCGAGACSACCTTTTCCAGTTTGTCATGAGTGACCAAATCTGTGTCCGAGACTACCTGTTCCAGTTTGTCATGGGTGGCCAAATCCGTGTCCGAGACCACCTGTTCCAGTTTGTCCTGAAAGTCCGATTCAGAGTCCCATTCGTAGACAACTGGGCCACTAGGAGGAATCTGAGATTGTGCGTCGGTGTGATTTAGCCAGTCAGCCACCTGTTGGGCATCCAGGTCGTTACCCAACCGGATGCCTCTCAGAAAGTCTGTGTCTGATGCAAAGAAGGGGGCAGCAGGCATCCAGTGAGGATGAATTTGAAGCCACTGCTCTTTTGTGCCCTCCAAGGATATCAGGCTCAAAAAGGCAAAATGAAGAATTTTCTTTTCCCCATCTTGCAGTTTCACTAAATATCTGCCCATCCTTGGTTSTTGCAAAAGAGTAACAGCTCCCATACCTTTCAAGATTACCGACTGTGTCAGACTTACCACTTGATCTTCAGAAAGTTGATTTTGCACTGACACTATCGGTAATTCCAGGGATTCATCCGGTGTCTGGGTAGTAAGAAAACACAGGCCCAACTGAGTAGTCGTACAAATTAGTGGGACCAGGACTTGTTTCACTGTCTTGCGGATTTTGTCCTTGCGGTCCAACGTCTGCATTGGGGCTGCAAAACTTAACTCCCAGTTAGCCTTGTTGTTTCTCTGAGTTCTTTTCCCTGTGTGGAGTGCTGGGTCCTCCTCCTCCTCCTTCTCTGACTGCTTACCAAAAACCTGACGGAAACAATCTAAACCATTGTTTAACCGGCTCTTCTTTGTCGGTTCCGAACCAAAATCTCTTTGGCCAGCCAATAGTCCCTCCTGCAGTTTAGGAACTGATTTCTTCTTTCTTTTCGCTCCTTTTTGGTCCCTTTTCCTTTGTTCGTCCATTGCTTTGAATAACAGATCAATTTTCTGTTCGTCAATTTGGGGGTTGTCGCCCTGTAATGTGCCTGCCTCTCCCTCTACAACCTTCCCTACCTCCAGGACTTCTGTGTTCCCTTTCTCTATTGAAGGGGTGGGGATTTGTTGCGTGAGTGGCTGGTTTTGTGCAGGGAACCCCAAGGCTTCCGGGTCTAGATTGTCTACTATCTCCATTAAGTCCTGACCCGCAGATATCACCCTGTGGTGGGAAGTTCATTCTCATTTTGCGCATCTCTAGCGTGGTGTGGCGACGCCCTATGGTTAGCTTTCCACCTGCTTCAGACTTTCAGTCCAGAATGCTGCTCATCCCAGATATCACCAGGACCTTTCCCACGTGAAAAAAAAATCCGAACACTGAAGTCCAGGCCTGCTGGGAAATGTCTGGTGGCGCCCGCCAGACACATCAGGGTCCGTTCGTTTTCCTCTGCCGCACACTGTCAGTGTAAATTCAGGCCCGCAGCCAATATATGGGAAAGGTACCGATTTTTTGGAAGTTGCGGCTTGCATGCTGCCACAACTTCAGGGGGCTCGGCTGGCAGCTCCAGCCAGAAGTAGGCCCGTGCCGGCTCGGTTTTTTTTTTTTTTTTTTTTTTTTTTTTTTTTTTGCCGGCTCGTTTTCTTTCAAGCCCCGGAGAAAAGTTCCTCGGACTCTGCGGAGTACATGCAACCTGTCAGAGCTTCACAGAGGGAGAGAAGTCCGCCACCCTCTGAAAGGAAAATGGACGCGAAACTGATCACAGGGTACGTCACGGTCAGCTCAATGGGGAACCACAGCGTACCAACTTGAAGTCGGAATTCACGCTGGCACATGCAAAGTTAAAAAGGAAAAAAAAAAAGAAAATTCGCAGGATACATCATGATCACGGTCAGTCAGGGCTATTATGGTGATTAGACGAATGGGCAGGCTTCAAAGATGTAGTTGTCTTTGTGTAGGTCCTGACATCCAACGTCCTGTTACGGTACGTCCTGACATGTCCACCTGATCTTGACCGTGAAATTTCCTGACAAGGCTAGACATAGCTCAGCAGTGCCGGGCTCGAAACCAGGGTGAATACAAGAGGTGACGCTCCCCACGAATAGGAGATTAAAGCTCTTCTGTCCAGAACACAAAAGGTCATCTAAAACTGGTCTAAACAAGGTCAGGAAAAGCCCGGGCTATTATGTATGGTTAGACGAACGGGCAGGCCTCACTCATGTTGTCTTCGTCTATGTCCTAACGTATCCAGCCTACGTGACCGTATAAATGAGTTTTCTGATCTGATCTTGACCGTGGGTTTCCTAACAATGACGTACTAGGCTGCTAGGAGCCTAGTAGACATACTAGGTAGGCTTGAACAGTCGTGGGTGCTCTTGCCTCTCTTGCCTTGGTCAAGCCACCGTGTGATGTTGAACTTCCGGCGAGTTCCCAGCTCTGCTTGCTCGCGCGCGCGCTCGAGAGAGAGAGAGAGAGAGACGCACACACAC